TTTTCTTTAAAAAAGTATACAAAATATTTAAAAAATTGTAACATTAAAAAGTTACCTCCCCTGCTCATAGACCAAATGACCAAATCTCGTATAATAAGAATTTCACTCGCAGTCATTTTTAGCCCTCTTCGAGGGCTTTGATGCTGACCAACAGTTTTTCCATACGGCCCATTCATCTATAGAGGTGTATGCAAAAAATTAGCTAGATATACTGAGCTTAAGTACCCTAAAGTCTGCGTTGAAATGACCCTCTGTTTTTCCCATAAAATACAAAGATTATATAGGGAAATACAACTGGTCAGTTTTGACCGCTTTACGAAGTTTTCCCAGATATGCCGAGTTTTTTGTGACACCCCAAGGTGTTCTCCTACCACCTCACAAAATATCAAGGGGGGTCGTCGGAGGAAATTTTTTTTCGTAATAGAGCTCATATAAAGAGAATTTCACTCGCGGTCACTTTTTAGCCCTCGTCGAGGGCTTTGAGTGTAACCGACAGTTTTCCCTAAAGGTCAAGCCATTGACCTAGGAGCATGCAAAAAATTAGCCAGATATACTGAGCTTAAGTACCCTAAAGTCTGCGTTGAAATGACCCTCTGTTTTTCCCATAAAATACAAAGATTATATAGGGAAATACAACTGGTCAGTTTTGACCGCTTTCCGAAGTTTTCCCAGATATGCCGAGTTTTTTGTGACACCCCTAGGTGTTCTTCTACCACCTCACAAAATATCAAGGGGGGTCGTCGGAGGAAATTTTTTTTCGTAATAGAGCTCATATAAAGAGAATTTCACTCGCGGTCACTTTTTAGCCCTCGTCGAGGGCTTTGAGTGTAACCGACAGTTTTCCCTAAAGGACAATCCATTGACCTAGGAGCATGCAAAAAAATTAGTCAGATATACTGAGCTTAAGTACCCTAAAGTCTGCGTTGAAAAGACCCTCTGTTTTTCCCATAAAATACAAAGACTATAGGGAAATACAACTGGTCAGTTTTGACCGCTTTCCGAAGTTTTCCCAGATATGCCGAGTTTTTTGTGACACCCCAAGGTGTTCTCCTACCACCTCACAAAATTTCAAGGGGGGTCGTCGGAGGAATTTTTTTTTCGTAATAGAGCTCATATAAAGAGAATTTCACTCGCGGTCACATTTTAGCCCTTCTCGAGTGCTTTGAGTGTAACCGACAGTTTTCCCTAAAGGTCAAGCCATTTACCTATAAGCATGCCAAAACTGAGCCAGATGTAAAGAGGGTAAGTGCCATAAAATCCGTTTTGAAATGACCCTCTGTTTTCCCCATAAAATACAAAGATTATATAGGGAAATACGACTGGTCAGTTTTGACCCATTTCCCGATTTTTCCCGGACATGGCGAGTTTTTTGTGACACCCCAAGGCGTTCTCCTACCACCTCACAAAATATCAAGGGGGGTCGTCGGAGGAATTTTTTTTTCGTAATAGAGCTCATATAAAGAGAATTTCACTCGCGGTCACTTTTTAGCCCTCGTCGAGTGCTTTGAGTGTAACCGACAGTTTTCCCTAAAGGTCAAGCCATTTACCTATAAGCATGCCAAAACTGAGCCAGATGTAAAGAGGGTAAGTGCCATAAAATCCGTTTTGAAATGACCCTCTGTTTTCCCCATAAAATACAAAGATTATATAGGGAAATACGACTGGTCAGTTTTGACCCATTTCCCGATTTTTCCCGGACATGGCGAGTTTTTTGTGACACCCCAAGGCGTTCTCCTACCACCTCACAAAATATCAAGGGGGGTCGTCGGAGGAATTTTTTTTTCGTAATAGAGCTCATATAAAGAGAATTTCACTCGCGGTCACTTTTTAGCCCTCGTCGAGGGCTTTGAGTGTAACCGACAGATTTCCCTAAAGGTCAAGCCATTTACCTATAAGCATGCCAAAACTGAGCCAGATGTAAAGAGCGTAAGTGCCATAAAATCCGTTTTGAAATGACCCTCTGTTTTCCCCATAAAATACAAAGATTATATAGGGAAATACGACTGGTCAGTTTTGACCCATTTCCCGATTTTTCCCGGACATGGCGAGTTTTTTGTGACACCCCAAGGCGTTCTCCTACCACCTCACAAAATATCAAGGGGGGTCGTCGGAGGAATTTTTTTTTCGTAATAGAGCTCATATAAAGAGAATTTCACTCGCGGTCACTTTTTAGCCCTCGTCGAGGGCTTTGAGTATAACCGACAGATTTCCCTAAAGGTCAAGCCATTTACCTATAAGCATGCCAAAACTGAGCCAGATGTAAAGAGCGTAAGTGCCATAAAATCCGTTTTGAAATGACCCTCTGTTTTCCCCATAAAATACAAAGATTATATAGGGAAATACGACTGGTCAGTTTTGACCCATTTCCCGATTTTTCCCGGACATGGCGAGTTTTTTGTGACAACCCAAGGTGTTCTTCTACCACCTCACAAAATATCAAGGGGGGTCGTCGGAGGAATTTTTTTTTCGTAATAGAGCTCATATAATGAGAATTTCACTCGCGGTCACTTTTTAGCCCTCGTCGAGGGCTTTGAGTGTAACCGACAGTTTTCCCTAAAGGTCAAGCCATTGACCTAGGAGCATGCAAAAAATTAGCCAGATATACTGAGCTTAAGTATCCTAAAGTCTGCGTTGAAATGACCCTCTGTTTTTCCCATAAAATACAAAGATTATATAGGGAAATACAACTGGTCAGTTTTGACCCCTTTACGAAGTTTTCCCAGATATGCCGAGTTTTTTGTGACACCCCAAGGTGTTCTCCTACCACCTCACAAAATTTCAAGGGGGGTCGTCGGAGGAATTTTTTTTTCGTAATAGAGCTCATATAAAGAGAATTTCACTCGCGGTCACTTTTTAGCCCTCGTCGAGGGCTTTGAGTGTAACCGACAGTTTTCCCTAAAGGTCAAGCCATTGACCTAGGAGCATGCAAAAAATTAGCCAGATATACTGAGCTTAAGTACCCTAAAGTCTGCGTTGAAATGACCCTCTGTTTTTCCCATAAAATACAAAGATTATATAGGGAAATACAACTGGTCAGTTTTGACCCCTTTACGAAGTTTTCCCAGATATGCCGAGTTTTTTGTGACACCCCAATGTGTTCTCCTACCACCTCACAAAATTTCAAGGGGGGTCGTCGGAGGAATTTTTTTTTTCGTAATAGAGCTCATATAAAGAGAATTTCACTCGCGGTCACTTTTTAGCCCTCGTCGAGGGCTTTGAGTGTAACCGACAGTTTTCCCTAAAGGTCAAGCCATTGACCTAGGAGCATGCAAAAAATTAGCCAGATATACTGAGCTTAAGTACCCTAAAGTCTGCGTTGAAATGACCCTCTGTTTTTCCTATAAAATACAAAGATTATATAGGGAAATACAACTGGTCAGTTTTGACCCCTTTACGAAGTTTTCCCAGATATGCCGAGTTTTTTGTGACACCCCAAGGTGTTCTCCTACCACCTCACAAAATTTCAAGGGGGGTCGTCGGAGGAATTTTTTTTTCGTAATATAGCCCATATAAGGCGCCGGTCAGTCGAGGTCAGTTTTGACCCCCGCTCCGTAGACTTTTTGCCGAACCGTCACCGGCCCTCGTGTTCTATCCCCATAAGGCACCTTAGTGCCAAATTTGACGCGCCTGCGGCGCCGGGAAGTGCCCTATCGGGCACCCGACCACTTTGCTTTATATATATAGATATCTGACCGTAGCATTCAACGAATGATAGTGAAGTAGTGTATAAACACACTGGAGGAAGTAGTGCAGCTAATCTCGCGTGATCTAGCGCCGCCTACTCGCGTTTCATTCATTCATAGACTAGAGTAAGAGAGTATGCTGACTCTGTATCCCCTCCCCTACAACTTTGGCATGTTTGTAAATAACCTGTTGTGTTTTCACCTTCACATTGATTAAACTCTATTTTTATTTGTTTCTTGTTTTGCTTAAGTGCTCCTTAGAGAATGTAGATTAAATCAGGTTAGAAATGCTCAAAGCAAATATTACCGATAGCCTATACAAAATAGCAAGAAATGTCGATCTCTTTATTTTGTACGGTGTGGCAACCTCTCTCCCCGTTGGATCGTGTCAGTCTGCGAATAGTGAACACTGTTGCAGTAAACTCAAATCAATAATGAATGTTAGTTGATAAATCACCAATTTTACGCACACATTTCTTTTATGGTTTTTGACTGTCATTGTGACCCCCCCCCCCCCCTACCGAAGTCACTAAGGGATTTAACACACAGCAGATTTGGTCTTCAAGGAACATCTACAAAAAATTCCGCTAACGGATCTTTCCCCCTTTGTAGTGCGGCTTCATATAAAAACAGATAGATAGACCTTCAACGCATTCGTGCGGAACACTTGTTTATTTTGGGCTAACCCCCTAACTCCTTGTGTGTGTTAGTATTGTAATTTATATAAGCTAGCTCGGGGTGGGATTTACAATGTCATTCTCTAAATGTTAGTCAGTGATAAATACCTTATCAAATGAACTTTCAATTATGATGGTCTACTTCAGAATTTTAATTATCTCGAAGGGTCGTCCTTTTGCCTAAATAACGTCACCCTTAATCATAGTCACACTAATTAGCGTCACAATGTAGGTAGGGGTCAGGTTCGCACGGGGTGACACCAATTTGATAAACAGTAAAATTTACTGTCAAAACTACCCAGCTAAAATAGTAAAGTGTGAAATCAAAATTGTTGGAGACACCCTCAGTTACCGCACGGGTAACGCCCGACCTAGTCACGCCACTGTTCATACCCATAAATATATATGCTAAGATTTCTTACATTTTAATTATTCCAACCGCTTTCAGCTGTCCTATTTTTAAAAAAAAAATATTTCTCCCACACAAAAGTTTTTTCCTCTTGAGTCAGATCATCGACCTATTGTGTAGACATGCATGTTTCTAAATACTTAACGGAAAATGCACTGTATTATAAATTATAAAAATAGGCCTATTTTTTTTTATATTAAAATAAAAATTCTATCTTTTTTCATCCCGCAGGCATATGAATGCGTTGGGAGGTGTTTCTACCCCATCGGCCAGTACCTGACGCCGACCAAGCACGCCATCATCCAGACACTGATGCACACGACCAACCCCAAATTTGCGCGAGCCTGCTGCGTGCCCACCAAGCTGGAACCGATTTCTGTGCTGTATTCGAAAGGCGATGGGGTCATCGAATACGACTACACCTTTGAGGATATGGTGGTGGCCGAGTGTGGATGTCGTTAAGTTCTATGGAAAGACATTTACTTGTGGAGGGCTTTACTGTAGTGCACGACAGCTAAATACACTCTTATACCATTTTGTTATAGAATAAGAATGTGAAGAGCGTTGTTTCATTTAACTATGTTGTCTAGCAAAAAGGGTTCCCCATCTGAGAAGTTACACATCTTGTGCGAAAATTCAAACTGGTGATAAGTGAACTTGTTTAGAAATGTGACAGCTGTCAGCATACATTTCTAATTGAAAAAGGCAATAGAAACATGTCTATCTGCCGGTCTTTGATGTAAAATAGTTTCTAGCACTAGCAGGCTTCCTTTATATACAACAGGCATGTTTTCTTTGCGTTTATTATGATAGTTAATATTCAGTTGTAAATTAGCTTGTACATTTTACTACATCAATTGCTGTCCTGGTGTTTTGCAATCATAATCCCAAACCAAAATCTTTATGTTGAACCTTTTGTATGATTGTTGAGCAATGCTTGCTTTGAAATAAATTAGCTAAAAAAAAAAAAACTAGGACTAGTTCTATCTTAGTAAAAACCCAACCAGTGTGGAAGAGAAGTTTTTCAGTGGCACTAATTATTCAACCAAAGCTGTTGCAATGTGTTGAGATTAAAGGGCATAACTTATTTCATGAAATGTGTATTTATAACATGTATATGATAGAATGCTTGCAATAAAAACTGTACACACATTCTAGTTTTCCCTTTTAACATTGACTTTAGAAATAAAAAAAAAGAACAGCTCATGAAGGACAATACATACAGGTTTGTTTATTAGCCATTCAAACATACATAATACAGACATGACCAACTTAAGTCCAGAATAATATTTAAAAATAAAAACCCAGAACTAATGAATTCAACTATACTGGAATAAAATACCATCCAGATAGGAATCCCTCTAAATACTGGTAAGAAAAACTTAACTCCCCCTCAGGAACAAACAAAAACCCTGGGTCGTTCATTCTATGTGCACCTTGTATAAAACATGCCCATTATTCATCCTTGTCTTACGGCATAAACACATTCAAGATGATTGAGGCATGCAAACAGACGCTAATCAGATCTTTCCTGAGCTGCACAAATAATATCCTACATTCTATAAAAGATCTTTGCTTAGTTAATCAAATAAGGTTTCCTTGGCAGAAATTGCTTAGATAATCACACAAATTTGGGCGTAGGTCATTCTTTGATACTAAAAATTGCTAGTGTAACGTATAATGCATTATGCTTTTAAATAAAAATGATTATTAAAAATGGGAAAATGGTGCTTATCTCTGCCGGCAGAAAGATTACAAGTAAAAAATAATGTCCTCAAGTTGTCTTGTCAAGTCTCATGGAGAGAACATTCTTGCCAGCGTTAAGCTTCACACAACCTCCCTAACACCACTGTCACTTGTATACAGACCATTTAGGCTTCAAACTCCAATCCCAAGCCAACCTTAAAAAAATAAAGCAAGTGTTGGAAACATTAGATAATTGGATAGATGCACATTGGAAGTTTATGAGGTTAAACAAAATTTATTTACAATACTTAGAAGATAAGCCTACCTTATGGCCTCCTTGGTTAATATTTTTGCCATCTATCAAGGCAGATATAGTCATCTTCACTCCTGCAAGAAATTTGTTAGAATATTAATGTATCATGCTGAATGGTAAAGAATAAATTTGCAATGGCAAAATATATTACATACATCACAATAAGACATGAAAACATTTGAAACGAAACAGTAAAATAAAACTGAACAGAATATTTGAAAAGAAAATGAAAACAAGAAATTTAAAACAAACTAAAATTTACTTATTCCTCCATTGGCTAATTCTGAAAAAGTTAACCAAATTTGTACTATTACAGCTATGGTTAAATATATACGGCTTTAGATTGTTCAAAAAAGTTAAGCAGAACATATTGTAAGTGGCTGCAAACCCTTAATGCATCATTTTCAAGCTACGATGAACTTTATCTTAACATGACAGGAAATTATAAAACTCACCATCTCTCAAAGTCTGTGTGTAGCCAATGCCTACATGACTTGAGTTGTTCACTTTAGCCTACACATGTACAAATAGAATTAATGCATAACAAAACTGGAATGGTTATAAAAAAAAAAAGCAATGTACATTATTGTTTTATAAAATGTTAAGAATTAAAATAAGTAAATTAAGATTGAATAAAAAAAAAAACTTACACTAATAGATGCATCATTGTCCAGCTTGTATTTGCCTCCTACAGCAAATGTGGTGCTACCAGTACCAGCTGCCCATGATAAATTCACTGCAGCTTCCAGATTATCACTCACTTTTTGGTGCACAGAGCCAACAAATTCTTGACCATCATTACTATCAAATAAAAGCAAAAAGTATTAACATGTTTAAGAAAAGACGTGAATCTAGAATTTCTACATCTGCCTAAAAGAAAAGCAGACTAAGCTTCTACCAGGTGAAAATTACATAAACATTGCTAATCAATTCATCCAAACTGGACTATTTAAAAAGAATAACTGCAATTGTACAGTAATTGAAGTAAGAAGGCAAGACTTGCAAAATAAAATAATTGCTGTGGTTTTGCAAAACCATGTCTACATTAAATTGTTGAATGCAAAAAAAGACCAACAAAAACAAAACAAAAAACTTGTCAGTTCAATTAATACATATAAATTGAATAAATGACAGTCACTATTCCGCACATAACTAAGACTAGAAATCTATAAAAAAATTTAATATTTTACACTTGTATTTTTAAACTGTGATGAATTCTATTTCAAACTATGGTCATGTATGAAGAAATTATCCTTATAACTTAAAATTTATGACTACAAAATTAAAACCACTTCACTGAGGATACTAAATTAGCTGTAAAGACTGCAAATTACTAAAGAAAAAAAAAAAAAAAAAAAAAAAAACAAAACAAAAAACCACAACAAAATTACAAACTAAATACACTTCCTTACTTGCCATCCTTCCAGGAGTTGTTGCTGAAAGTTTAATCCATTTTAAAACTAAAATCTTATTTTCCCAAGAGATTGACTCATGAATATACACTGTTAATAATAAATTTAAATGAAGCATACAGCACTATTAACTTGGGCTCTTTTAGGACATTTTAAAATAATTTTAACATGTAACTAGGGTTCCATTTGTACTTACACATGTGTTGTGAATGCAAAGTCGCCACCATTAAATCCAAAACCAAAGTTGCTGCGAGTAAGCTTAGATTTTGAGGTGTCAAAAGACACCTGGTATCCAGCAAGCCAGCCTTCATACCTGATGAGAAAAAATACATCATAATAATGTAAACATAAAAAAATAACAAAAAAAAAAGTTAAGTAGTAAGAAAAGAAAAATAAACTTGCCCTAATACTGCAGCACCATGAATGGTTGGCCCAGCAAAATCCAAGTCCATATCACAGTTCAAGTGTACATAATCCATTTTGTAAGCTGTCTTGATTTTACCACTCTTCTTACTGTGGAGGATTTTAAAATGTACAAGCATTATAACCATTGATAAATTTATTATATAAATTTAAATGTTATATAAATTTAACAAGGAAAAATGTATACCCAGTCTGTGGAGCAAATGATGTATCAAATGTCAACTCTAATCCTTCAGCAATTTGATCTTCAATTTTGATTTCTGTATTCAGCACATTGTCTGTATTCCATTTCTCAGTAAAAGTGATACCTTAAGGTTAAAAAAAACAACCTATTTAACTTGCATTAAAAAGAAACAGGAGCAGAAACCATGTCTTTAACAATATGACTAAAGTATTTTTAACAGTATATGCTAAACTCTTACCATAGTCTGTCCATTTGTATTTTGTTTCAAGACTACCAGACACTTTACCAGTGTCTCTGTTTGAGCTCAAGGAAGCTTTAAACTCAACATTGCTTTGTGTTTTTGTCTTGGCATCCAATTTAAAAAAGCCCCAATCTGAAAGCATAAAAGTTCGATCATTTTATAAGCTAATCTAATCTGCTAATTAAGCAAGAGAAAATGAAAATTAGCCTATACAATGAAAAAAAAAAGATCATGTATTGTATCAAACCAATGAGTTATATATTACAGTACTCACTGAATCCTTTGCTAAAAACATCACGTGCTGCTTTTCCTAAATCAGAGTATGATGGGGGAGCCATTGTTTATTTTCAAAATACTGAACTGAAAATAAAATGCAATCTCTCAATATATAGCCTAACATAAGCAGTGTTAGCATGAAATAAGATTTAATTGCACGTACAGAGTAGTATGACTAGAAAAAAACTACCCATGCCCACCATATGATGAACCACCAATAAAAATGTGTGTATAGTAGAATAATAAAAGGGCAAATAAGAGAAATTATCACACATTAGGCCCCTAATAAACCCGTTTTTAAAAATAGAATTAGCTGATATAGATATACCTATAGACATCTACTTAAATTAGGGCTTAGAGATACTTTAAATCCAAGTTCTAACACTGGCTTTAAAATAGTTTAAAAGTTCAAGTCAATGAGTAGATCTAGAATCTACCTTGCATTCTAACTATACTCCTAATGACTAATGGAGTCGTAATGGACTATGCCAGCCTGATGAAAAACTACACAAAATTATAGGCCTAAGTAAAAAGTGTAATAGGGCCCCAGTCTTAGGTTTAGCCTAAGTAGATCTAATTAGTTACTTAGTATTGAGATGTAGATCTATTATTATATGAAGACAAAATAAGTATGCTTTTATTTTTAACTTTAAAAAAATGACCTCCACCAGTAAGGACATATTTTTCATCTTGTGCACAGGTATAAAAAAGCCTTGAATGTAAGGCCTACATTTAAAAACTGATTAAATAAACATTCTGCAAATATTTTAAAAAAATAAGCAGGGGGCGGGGGCAAAGAGATGACACCAATCTTGTGAAATCACATTGAGGTGCAATTTGTCGCACACTGAGTTATGCCACAAGTACTGGATCTTGCTTGAATAATGAACTGCCGGCTCATTTATTATCTTTGCTCTCTTAAAATATAAGATCGAAATAGCTAAATTTCAACTTAATACATAGATATAGTCCAATGTATATCTAGACCAGATTCTTCTAGCTTAGATCTATCCCAGATCTTTATAAGTTTGATCTCAAGAATCGCTTGCTTGAGTAAGCCGTGGTGGAAAAATACGTCATTTGACCATTTTTCTGGACTAACAAAACGCAAGAAATGATAAGCCGGTTAACGAGTTATATCGCACATGCATACAATAAACATAGAAAGGCACTATTAGGAAAATGAATATAAAATGCATAAAATAACAAAACCTATTACTTAGGTTGAATAACCTTCCTTTCAGGTTAAATAAAATAGTCAAAGTAACTTACATTGCGTGAGCTGCAGGGAGAACAAGGTCACCGATATAAAATGTCGGAACGAGAATTCCGAAAACGTGACGAGAGCTCAATAATTAGTATAAATTATTATTATTTCATAAACAATCATTTATTTCAATATACCAAATATTTGTATATAAACAACGATTGTGTTTTATAACTATCTATTAGAAAACGCAAGATTATTAAATAAAGTTAGTTACAGAAATGTGACGCGATATTTTGTTTAATCGACTTTTACGTGTGTATCTTTATTAATAAGATATCAAGATAAATACTGATGCTTATAAAATTGAGAATGAAAAATATAACAATTTTAATATTTATGTAAGTTCATTTTAGCTGCGAAATAAAAGATCTAGACTTATATTTCTAAATGAGTTCATCTAGATCTGTCATTTATTTTCAAACGTATCGATACTTAGAATCGGTTATAAATCATTTGCTTACAATAAATACCAGTAGAAAGTATAAAATTCACTACTGGAAACTTTAAGAAACACGACTGTAAATAAAGAGTAGCAGTAAGTCACAAAGTGTTACAATTTAAGAATCAAGTCTGCAGTTCAATGAATCTTTTCTGTTTGATAAAGAGCTAGATTAGATCTAGTTCATCTAGAGCTGTATTAAATTATAATTATATAGATCTACCTGTAGTTTAGGCCTAAAAAAAAGAATTTTTTTTTAGAGTAGTAGGCCTACGTAGGTAAAACTCCATGATTTTAGCGTAGATTCTATTTTAATTTTATTCTCTGCTTCTTGTTTACCTCCAGTTGAGCGTATTTTATTATAATAACCGAAACACACCAAAACATTAGGAAAACACGATTTATTTATTTGTATTGTAACAAATAAAAATGAATTAAAAAAAAACAACTAAGAGACTAACTTTGTTTAAGATTTTGATAATTTTAAAATAATTTAGATATCTACTTTTGTCAAAACTTGAACTTGAGAAAAATCCAAATTTAGAATAATGAATGATATGAATGTGCTATGTTCATGTGTCATAATTTTTATTAATTTTCATTGCAATGGGTGAAGTACGTAAATGTAACTCACAATTGCAAGGCGGTTAAGTTTGTATTGTTACAATTATCTCCCAGGCATGATACTTTACTATAAATAAACATTTATGAACTTACAATGACCCCAAAACTGAGGCCAACACAATTTCAAACAGCTATTGCCTGAGCTATGACGTATGCTGATAATTAAAGTCTAGTCAATGTGAACTCACGGTGAGCCCGCGACAGTGTAAGGATTTTTCTACCGCTGATGATCACACGATATTTAATTGGAACAGTTCTAATGCTTTTTAAATGTTTTTTTTTACCTTTTCTAATTAAAAATCACATTCATAAAAAATAAGTAGATCTAGTGTTTTCCTAACGTTTTTGTGTGTTTTGGTTGTGTTTATAATAAAATACGCTCAACTGGGTCGGCGTGGTCGAGTCGGTAGCGCTCATGGTTGCTAAACCGAAAAGTCTCGAGTTCGAACCCTCGGGCAGATGAGGCTTGTTAGCTGGGGACAGCCACTCTTCTAGTAGAGTTATTTAAAAAAAAATATCTTGAATAATTAAAATTATAGCCTATTATTTCATAGTATTTTTAAAATCTCTTTGTTAACATAACATGTTTATGTGATTTTGCAACAAGCAGACTTAATACATTTGGGATGGGGGTCGTCCATAAATGATGTCACACTTGTAGGGGGGAGGGGGTCCGTAATTTTGTGACGGTGTGTGACAAGGAGGAGGGGGGTTCAGACGTCACACTTTTGCATTATAAAAAAATTATGTTAGAAAATGAATTTCATAATGCACTTTAAAAATCATTGGCACCCTTAATTTAATTTATTGCTATTAAAAATGCTGTAGGATTGCTTTTTTGTGTGGTAAATCTGATCTAGATTCTACTACCCAATGAAATGTCCTAAAATTTATAATTTTCCTCTTTAAAAATTCCTGAAATTTTAACAACTTAGGTGCAACTTAGAAAAAATAAATTATTTCATCTCAACTGTTTTTGTTTAAACCCTAATTTAATTAAACATTAGGTATTAAAACAATTCCTCCATGAAATTTCCCTTCAACAGCTTTTATCTAAATTTAAGGTAGCTAAATTTTCTACAACTTTTGATCTTAATTATATGCTAATTTTATTGACCATTTGCAGCCATTTCAGAATGGAAAGTAAGATGGAGTCTGTTGATACCTGGACATGTGAAGATGTTGAGTTTTGGCTTGAAGAGAATGGACTAGATAAATATGCTGAGCTGCTTACAAAAACTCATAAAATTGATGGCCAGGTCCTTATGCATTTAACTGAAAAGGATTTAAGAGAGCCTCCATTACAGATGACAGTGCTAGGGGACATAAAGCGATTAGCATTGTTTATACAGGAGCTCCGCTCATTTTCATCACAGACTTCCCCCGGTGTGTCTAGAAAAAAGGGCTCGGCAAGTATTTTAGAAGGGAAAAGTAAGGAAAAGAAACAGAGTCCAACCAGCCCCCAGCGTCACAGAGTTACCCCAGTTCAGGATAGCACAGAGTCAGAAGATGTTGATAGTTCCAGCTACAGTGTTAGTCTGCAGAGAAAGCAGGCTAAAGATATTCCTCTGGAATTATGGAAAACGCTGCTTAGCTTTGTGTATGTTTTTGGAGTCTTCATGGTCACAGCTTTTGTTATGGTTGTTGTCCATGACCGGGTTCCGGAAATGGACAAGTATCCACCTTTGCCTGACCTGTTCTTAGATAATATGCCTTATGTCCCATGGGCTTTTGATGCTTGTGAGTTGGTAGGCTTAGTCTTGGGCACTATGTGGTTCATACTTCTTGTATTTCATAAGCACAGGTTTGTTATGTTTATTTTTTTACATTAAAAAATACATAAATTTAATAGTAATTATTATATATATATATATATATATATATATATATATATATATATATATATATATATATATATATATATATATTTCAATCTCTATCTCTCTTTAGATATACCTATAAGCATACAAATGTATTTATTTATAAATAGATTAATACTAAAGGAAGGTATTTTTTCTAATAGGTTTGTTTTAATGCGTCGCATGTTCTCCCTGACTGGTACAATATTTCTCCTGCGTTGTGTCTGTATGTTGATCACGTCTCTCTCAGTACCAGGCAAACACCTACAATGTAGTGGCAAGGTAAGGGATTTTGATATTTTAAATAGTTGCATTGCATCTTTTAGGACAGTGGTTCCCAACCTTTTTCGAGTGGCGACCCCCTTTTATAAAAAGTAAGTGACCCGCGACCCCCATAGAATTAAAAAGCCGAAATTAGTATGGAAATTAATAAGCACTAAAATAAGATTTTTCAAGTAGACTTTCATCATGAACTACTCTTGATAACTGTTTTAATAGCATGAGTAAAACTGCATACTATTCACTAAACCTTCGTGGTTAAGTTTTTAATTTAAAAAAAAATTTGTTAACGCCAACCTATGTCATTATAATTATCTTAATTTTGTTTTTAATCGAAGAATAGTGTTGAAAATATATTCTCGAAAAGTCAACCAATTTTACGTTTGTGTATGAATGGTGAATACTACACCAAAATTGTGTCTGCAGTTTTTCATCTTACACGGAATCATTCTGCAAATCAAAGAATTCATCTTGTAATTCATCGGTAATGTTGGCAACATCAAGGGAATAAGAGAATGGGTAATGCGTAAATGCAGATTCTTCTTTTTTCAGTTCAGAGAAATAGCGATGCAGTTCGTTTTCAAGAGATTCAAGGTGCCCAGAAATCACTTCTTTCAAAATTTTAATTATCTCACAATTAGACTCATCTACCACACCGCAGAGTTTCTCAAATTTACAATATTTCCAAGATTTGTTTTCTTTACCTGATTTTGCAGCTTTGATAAAAATGCCCCGAGATTATCATGGAAAGTTATAATATTCATTCATTTTCCCTGAAGCTTCAGGTTAAGCTTATCTTGATGTTCGAACATATCTGCTAGGTATGATACTCTCTCCAACCACTCTATGTCGTTTTAAGTATACCAAAAAGTCTTGTTTCCTTTGCACTCCGAAGAACAATTTGATTTCAGATTTCAATTCAAAAACACAATTTACAACATTTCGTTTGACAGCCAGCGTACTGTAGTGTAGAAGAGCAGAACCTCGTGATCTATATTAATGTTTTTGCACAGTTCTTTGAAGGCTCCAGATTTTATATAATTTACGACTTATACTAGCAATGGACTCTTGATGTCGATTGGTTAGGGCAGTGGTTAGGGAGCTAAATCTTTTCTGTTTTCTGAAAGCCCGATTTTGAGCTAAACATAGATGGCGCACCATCCGTACAAACCCCCACAGCCGTTCTAACCCATTTTAATCATCCAGTTTCAAAAAAGATATTTATTTTCTCCATGTTATCTTCACAAAAAAGCAACTCTTTTATCTTTGCTATCATCCGCATGAATAAAGACACAGACCAGCAACTGCGAACACGAACTCACGTCTGTTGATTTATCAACTTGAAAAGCAAACAATGGTGAAAGCTTAATTTCAATAAAAATGTGTTATTTACATACATTTACGTACATGCAGCGTTTGATGAGATTTTCTCCTATTGTTTTTTTTTTTTTTTGGTTTGCATTTTTTATCGCGACTTCATTTGATGCTTGCACTAATGCTGGTGAAAACTTCCTGTTCGATCAAGTCTCTGGCGTTTGCAACTAGCTTCTTACCGACGAAAGAACTCTATATATTTTTGGTGTGTTCCGAATGACTCGTCTCAAATGACGTTTTAGTTTTGAAGATTTCATAGATTCGTGACTGAGAACAACTTTGTACAATGCGCTTTGTTTCTTCTCTATTACATTTCCAGTGATGTTAATGAAGCCGAATTTTAAAAAATTCTTCTAAATATTTGTTTTGTTTCAAATTACTAAGGTTTAGTCTACCAGTTGGCGACCCCCGAGAAAGACCTTCGCGACCCCCAGGGGGGTCGCGACCCCCAGGTTGGGAACCCGTGTTTTAGGATACTTTTTAAAAAAATGATATATTTGTTACTGTGCAAAAGAATGAGAATTAATTTGAGTTTATCCATCTTTGTTCTAGAGGTATGGAGATATGTATACTAGACTTGAAAGAACATTTGAGATTTGGAAGGGGATGGGGATGTCCCTTCAAGGTGTGAGATCCTGTGGAGACTACATGTTCAGTGGACACACAACTGTTATTACCCTGCTCAATTTTTTCATCACTGAATGTGAGTACATAAATGAGTACATAAATGAGGAGTCCACTTTCAAAACCTGCTAAGTCGACTTTTTACAAAAATTGAGTTATCCTCCTTGGCTCTTTTATTAAGTAAAAACCCAGTTTTTTTAGTTTTGACAATCATGACCTACTAAGTTCGCTAATTTCGCTTGTTAAAAAACGATCCACTTGCAAAACCTCCTAAGCATTTGTTTTCAATTCCTACTAAATAACGAGCCAATGGCAGCAGTTTTTAGCTATAGGATAGAGCCAATCACAATTTAGATTGCTTATAGGCGACTTCCTTCCATGTACATCATTCAATCTTTCAAGATAGCTGAATGTAATGCGAGTTTCATTGTAATTTGTGAAAATGCCACTGAATCCACCATCAAAGCTTAAAAAAAAAAACATTCTAATTCAGAGGTAAGCCATCTTCTAAATTTTTAATGTTATTAATAATATACTCCTTACCACTGTGTAACTGTACTAGAACTAGATCTATTTTTACTTTCTCGTATATACGTAGTATAGAGAAAGTATTGTAATCGTGCAAAAAAAAAAAAAATCGAGATTTTTACAAATCTCGACGTTTTACACCTCACTGATACGGAAAAACATAATTTTGCAATCTTGTCCGTATGTCTGTGTGTGTGTGTGTCTGTCCGTGTGTGTGTCTGTCCGTGTGTAAACACGATAACTTGAGTACCGTTACTGCTAGGTTGATGAAATTTCATATATAAGTATTTTATCAAAATCGTAGATCCGTATCAACTTTTGAGCGATTTCCGATAACCGGAAGTGGTACTTTTCCTACTTTGAATTTTTTAAAAGCCTATAACTTGAGTACTATTTCAGATAGATAAATGAAATTTCACATGTAAGTAAAAGATCTAATTCTCTACCTTCTGTTAAATTTTGAGTAATTTCCGTTGACTGGAAGTAGTAATTTACGCTACTTCCGATTTCTCAAAAAACTAATGTAAATTTTAAAAGTACTAATAATATTGCGCACTATTATGCGCTTTTTTTATTTGCGTTCACTTGGTGTGCAATTAATTTGTCTACGAGATTTTATTCTATTTTAAAAACTTTAAGTATTTAAAATGGATTAAAAATCATGTCTATAGCCCGAGTTTCCATCCCCTGTTATTTTATATAAGAATATTCGAGAAAGTTTAGGGGAGATCACTCCCGGTTTATTTTATTTGTGTTACACTCTACACTGTACTGTAGTCACTACACTACTGATCCTATTGTTACAGCCTGTTTGTTAACAAAATTAAAATATACATTATACATTGTTATTCTACCTTCCCCAGACATTCACAAAAACCAGCTGTGAGAGCTGACTGCAGACATACCAGGAAGGCAGCCTTCAAGTGTGCAGAGCTCACAAGCAGGGACATGGCAACATGCAACTCATTGTTCTACAGCCACACCAAAAAAGCTGACCAGGACAATTTCATTGTGGCCTCAGCCAAAAAACCAAATAGAAAACAAGCAATGAAACATGTAAACGCCAACGGACAACATGTGTGACATCATTTTTTTGTCATGAAGGAGACAAAAACGAGGGTGTGAGTCTGTAAGGACTTTTTCTTTGCTGGTTATTGGACGCTCTCGTGTTGAAAACATTGCTAAAAACATAAAGCTACATGGAGGAGTGTCAAAGGAAAACGTAGTGATGGATCAAAAGTGCATTAAGTATGGCCCCAAAAGAACTGCTGTATGTACTTTTTTAAAAGGGCTTAAAGGCAGGGAAAGCCATTACGGCAGACTTAAGTCCAAAAAAATCTACTTGCCTTCTACAATCACTTCTATAAAGCAGCTATGGAAGATGTTTCTGACAGACACTACAGAAATCCAAGTCACCTATGAATTCTTCAGAAGGATTTTCAAAAGAGACTTTAGAATTGGTTTTGGTTCGCCCACAAAATATGCTCATTCTGTGAACAAGAGAGAAATCAGATAAAGGCAGAGTTGGATCCATAAAAAAAAAAAACAGACATTAATAACTGCCTTACATGTTCACAAGACGAGAGCAAATGCTTTTTATGATCTCCTTTATGAAAAAGAGGGACTAAAGGTACTCTGTTTTGACCATCAGCAAAATCAGGTGTTGCCTTAAGTCCCAGACCAGATAGCTTATTAGAGTAGGCAGTTATATTTTTATAATGTCACTGTAGTTGAAGTAAATGACTTGGGCACCCTGTAGCCAGATAATGTTTTTACTTATGTTTGGAGGGAGGATCAGTTTGCAAAAAATAGCTCATCCTGCTCCAGTGCTGTTTTTCATGCTCTTCAAAAGTCAAACATGAATGGCATTGACTGTGTTCGCCTCGTGTCCGATGCTTGTGGTGGGCAGAATTAAAATAGCGCCCTTATTCAGATGGCATCACACTGGCTAGTAACCCACGCTCCACCTGGGGTAAACACTATGGAGCTGTTGTTCCCAGTCAGAGGACATTCCTTCCTGCCATCTAACAGGGTTTTTGGAGTGTTGGGAAACAAAATTAGAAAGAAAGAAAGGATTTATTCCCCAGTGGAATACCTGGAGATCTACAGAGATCAAGGCACTGTGAGATTGGCAGAGGCGAACTGGGATATACTTGATTTCAAATCCCTATCTGATCAGACCCTGAAGAAACCTCTGTCAATAAAAATTCAGGAAAATAAGTGGTTTATAATTTTTAAAGGAAAAAATTGTGTCATGGCTCAGGCAGAACCAAACTACAGAAATTTTTTAAATAAACCAGTTGCTGTTAATAAAAGAGGAAAATCTTTTGCAGTAAACCCATCTTATGTTGTGCCAGGTGTCAAGGTAAATGCGGCCAAAATTACTGACATTAAAAAACTTAAGTCAGAACATGCTGGAGATGACTGGGAGACAAACCAAAAATTTCATTTCTTGAAATCTGTTGTTGCTGACGCCATTCAAGCTGCCGATGATGACAATGAGGAATGTGACTGTCTTTGCGAGGATGAAGCCTCCAATGTTGTTTAGACTTAATCAAACCCAGAAGGCTCCCCCCACCTTCAGTGCTATGTAACTTCTTATTTTCCCCAATAAAATTATCCCTGTGGATTTTATTCCCAGGGTGTAAACTGTACACTTTTTGTTGCCATAATTTAATTTTAACTGTATGTTTTGTGTTGTCTGTTACCATACATGTTTCCTGCTAGTTTTTTTAAATGATTCAATGACTGCTTTAAGTCTTATCAGTCATAATAATTTTACATTGTTGTTTAATTTGCCATAAACTAAGAAACTCTGATTGGCAGGCTAGACAGCAGAGAAATAAGTTTAGACTTGTTCTTAGAAATATGCAAATATTAGTGGTAAACACTTTACTATGAGGTGGGTAGACATGAATTACTGCCAAGGATTAAACTCTCTTTATTGTCTGTAAGAAATAAGCATTATAGCCACTCTTCTATAAACTTCTTCTTTAACCTGCTAAGTATTTAAACCACTCAAAACCTGCTAAGTACATGAAACGCTTTCAAAACCTGCTAAGTAAAAACTTTGTCCTTCATTATCAAAGGCTGAAATTTTCTTTAATTTTATGTTGTTTGTTCCAAATGACTTACTTAAAGGCATTTTTTTAGCATAGCTAAATCCCGAATCTGTAGCTAAACATTAAGTGATGATTTTAAAAAAGTGTATTTTTCTGAGAATCTTCAGCTACTTAGCAGGTTTTGCAAGTGGACTCCTCAAATTACAATATATAAATATTTTCTAATGTGAAGCACATTATTATGTTTTATATTCTACTAAAACTTACTGCAGTTTGTATTTATTTACGTAAATAATTGAATAAAAAAATGCTTAGAATTTGTACAAAAGTCACACAGAAACTATATATTTAAGTTTTTATAAACACATTTTAATAAAACAACATAATTTTTTAAATTTCTAAAGCACCTTGAGAGAGTATTCCTAGTGGATGTCGTCATACCAACGATTTATTTAGTCTCATATTGATTTGTTAGCCATTGATGATAGTTAATTTATCTAGAGTTAGGTTAAAGCTCTGATAAAACTGTGACACTTGCTATCCCATTTACATCAGTCAAATGCTGAAAAGATTTTTCTTGTTTGTTTTCCCAGATACACCAAGGAAGTTCTACTACATCCACATAGCCTCCTGGTGCCTTAACTTTTTTGGTATTTTCTTCCTGCTGGCAGCACATGAGCATTATTCAATCGATGTTTTCATGGCATTTTACCTGTCCTCTCGCCTCTTCATGTACTATCACACCCTGGCCAACAACAGGGCTCTCATGGCGCCGGATGCCAAGCGCACCAGGATTTGGTTCCCCCTTTTCTCATTCTTCGAGTCCAAGTGTGAGGGGCGCTTGTCAAACCAGTTTGAGCTGCCGTTCAAGTACATCATCCCCTGCTGGCATGTGGTTCAGACCTGGCTCCTGGCTGTTATTCCTTGTGCTAAAAATGGCGCTGCCAGTGGACTAGCTGGCTGCTCGGATAAACTTGCGTCGTACCTGTCCAAGAACCACCAAGAACCAGCTAGCAAGGTGGATTAATTGTAAGATTCTAACTCTTTCTGTGTTGAAAAATTTACTGAATGAATTTACTTCATTAAAGTTGAAGTGAGATATGGAAGTGTAAATCAGGAGTGGGATCATCTTGAGTGTTGGTTTATTCTCTTGTTGGAGTTGGCTGCAAAACATATGATCATTATATATATTTTTAACCAATATATATTAAATTGTTTCTGCATTGCTTAAAGAAGATAAAATTACCTGGGGTGCTTGAAGAATAAAAGTAAAAAAATTAAGTGGCGTATACAGCCACTGAAGAAATAGAAATCTGCCAGTTTTCTGTCACAGAGCATGATATCAAAGTATTAATGTCTAGTCAGCTCTGTTTGAAGAAGTATGTAAGGGCACACTGCTGTATGGTATTGTGTGGATATTAGACAATACTGACCAGTCTTCAAGGTTTCATGTCGAATTGCTTATTGTGAAATGACATGTATAGGTTGAATTTCAACATATCACTTTATAAAAAAAATTATCAATAAATATATATATTTTTTTTTACCTGAAAAGTATTACATTCTATAAATTCAGAAAGTTGTATTATTATATGCAAGATTTAACTATTTTCAAATAACATTTTGTTTCAGTTAAGCTAATACAGTATTGTAGTTTTATTTAAGCAAGAGTTGGGAATAATTGAGTAGTTTGCAAGCATTTGATATCTACAATGTAAAATCAGCTGAAATTTTAAAAATTATGTTATTTGACCAAAATAATTAGTCATTACATGCAGTTGTTATTTGCATAATTTTGTTAATAAATCTCCGATGCTTTCTTGCATAGATGGACTCTACCCTCAGGACTTTCCATAATCATGTACTGTTATTTTTCTATGCATATTTGTACTATTGACTTCTAGCTTATGCAGGTCAGGTCACTGAGCTGAATGCAAACATTCCCATCCTACCGATAAACATTTTTACCATGACATTTTATGTACTTGTTAAGTAAATCACATGACAATAGTGACAGATGTATCAGCACATCTTAAGCTTGTGTATTAAGCTCATATAATGTAAAGCTCATCATTAAGCTCTGGTTTGTGCAGCTTTATGTTTAGGGTATAAAATGCTCTGGTCAGATCATAGTGTGCCTTTAAGAAATTTTTTGTTACTGGAAGACTTTGTGGACACGCATAACCAAGACTATTTGACATGACAATCTGATTCTTTAGAACAAATGGGATACAATGGTTCAGTGACTATATTCTGTGCTATGTATGGCTGCTGATGACCATTGGTTTATATTGTGATATTTGGCCTGGTGTTTGATATATTTAAACCATCCCTGTGTCAAAACAGATATATTTATACATTATGAGAAAAATCCTTGACAAAAGTATGTCCATATTGCAATTGTTAGAGGTCACAGAAATTAATTAGCCAAGGTAAGAGTGACTACAGGTAAAGTAAACCATTTTTGTAGTACATTTTTGTTCAGGGTAAATTTTGAATGAATGAAGTTTTATTTTTACTATAGTAATTGCAGATTTGATAATTTAAAAATGTTTTGAATAATTTTTAACAAATCAAGTGAAATAAAAACATTTTATAAATCATTTTGTGCCTGAATGGAATTATCCTTATTTTTCAATTTCTTGTTGCTTTTGAATTTTTGGATCATTTTTATTCTTATCAGCCATATTGGGTAAGCAGCTTTTTAATTTTTAAAAGCATTTTTTGCTAGGTTATTTAGGTTTTATACATAACAGAAGTTAATTTTTCAAACTAGATGCATTCCAGTTCCTGCAGTTTTCTTATTTGCTTGTCATTTAGTTAATCTTTTTTTCTAAAGAACAAAAGCTTCTAATGTATTATTGTCTTTACTTGAATGAACCCTTCCGTGTAACAAGGGAACAATAAACATTTCTCTTAGTATTCTACTTTTGTTTTGAGACTGCCACTTGTAGCAGTATAAAAATAAAATTGAAGAAGGTGCTAGCTACTTCAAGCTAAAGATTGTCTCCTATATTCATTTATATACTTCATTATTAATTGTTAGCAATTTGGAAATTATATGGTATTTTTATAGGTGTAATTTTTTAAACCTTTTTTTCTGAATTTTACCATTTTTTAGCTGTTTTACACAAGAAAATATTTATCAACAATCAAGGATGATATAAATGTTCATTATTTTCAACTTTCTTCTCTTCCAAACCGAGTTTTCCAGTTAATTTTGTGATTTTGCTTAGCATTGATTTGCACTTGTTTCTTATGGTCATGTTTTCTAAAAATAACACTTAAGTGATCACATTTGTGATTGTTTGCACATTTTGACTCATGACTAACAGTATTTGATTCCTAAATTTTTTACCGAACATATTTACATCTAGTTTATATTCTCAAAACATATGACTGCCTATATTTTTCAAGTTTTTTTTTTTTAAATTTTCTTGAGGATATATAACAGATTTTACTGGCTTGTTACTGTTATAGCATATTGACATTACATTGAATGATAGCTTTTGTTAATTTTTGTGCAAATGACAATCAATGAGTTTGTTAAATGTTTGCACTTTTCATGTTTAAAAACCTATAAACTTTGAAGATAAATTGTTTTATTTGTTAGAAAAAAATTACTCATTTTGCATGAGTTCTATTGTACTTGCTGTGATAAACATGTTAAAACTATACATTCAATGCCAAAAGTCTAGACTTGATTTGGTATATTGCCTGTTGAAAGAACCCTGTGAATGAATTCACTGACTAAGTCACCTTCCACTGAAATAATAACTAAAGTCAGTACCCACCAGAACTCTAATTCAGTCAAAAGTCAGTCACTGTTTGTGCAACATTTTCTGCTAGATTGTATATGTAATTATTGATTTGTGTTTTTGTAACAATTGTATCAGGATTTGTACTAGCAACAGTTATGTTGGTTTGTGTGTCTGCAACAATTGTTTCCAGTTTGTTTGCTAATATTTGTAACATGTGACCATCTGTGTTCCTGCAAAATTTGTGCCATGTTTGTGTGTGTTTGCAACATTTGTGTGCCTGCAACTTTTGTGCCCTATTTGTGCATGAGTGTGTGCAACATTTGTAACCTGCTTGGGTGTGTATGCAATTATTTGTGCCCTGTTTGTGTGCCTACAACATTTGTGCCCAGTTTGTGTGCCTGCAATATTTGTGCCCTGTTTGTGTGCGTGCAACATTTGTGCCCAGTTTGTGTGCCTGCAACATTTGTGCCCAGTTTGTGTGCCTGCAATATTTGTGCCCTGTTTGTGTGCGTGCAACATTTGTGCCCAGTTTGTGTGCCTACAACATTTGTGCCCAGTTTGTGTGCCTGCAATATTTGTGCCCTGTTTGTGTGCGTGCAACATTTGTGCCCAGTTTGTGTGCCTGCAACATTTGTGCCCTGCTTGTATGTTTATGGAGTGTTTGTCTACTGAAATCATTCTACAATGTATCTTGCAATAATTTTATCACCAATTAATGAACTGTCTACAGATTTATTCATCACCTAGTCATGTACCGTACAGAGATACTTTCTATATTGTCAGAACATTCATGTACTGAACAGAGATTCTTTCTATATTGTCAGAACATTCATGTACCAAACAGAGATACTTTGTATATTGCCAGAAAGTTCATGTACCGAACAGAGATTCTTTCTATATTGCCAGAACTTTTGTCAGAAATATATTCAACGTTTTATTGAGAGATGGTCGTTTTATGGAGCAAGTTTTTCTTGGCGTCCTGGTTTTTCTGAAAAAATTGTGTTAGTTTTATTTTGCTCCATTAGCGCTGTATGCCAACAAATTCATGATTGTTTTAAGTCCAAGCAATGCAAATTTTCTGTAAATAAAGATAATTTAACAACAAAGTGTGTTTTCATTTAACTTCTTTGTTTTATGATAGGTTATTTAACAAGAGAGGCAGCACTTTTTATAATTAATAAAATTGACTTTTCTACATAATTGATCCATGACCATTTTCATGTTTAATGATAACGTGTATAAATTTAAAACTTATCCGGACTAGAGTAGTTGCAGCTTCGGTAGGAGATTATACTCATGTGACTGTAATGTTAGATGGGATATTTGACTTGTGTGGTTGTGATGTTAGATGGGATATTTGACTTGTGTGGTTGTGATGTTAGATGTGATATTTGACTTGTGTGGCTGTGATGTTAGATGGGATATTTGACTTGGGTGGTTGTGATGTTAGATGTGATATTTGACTTGTGTGGTTGTGATGTTAGATGTGATATTTGACTTGTGTGGCTGTGATGTTAGATGGGATATTTGACTTGTGTGGTTGTGATGTTAGATGTGATATTTGACTTGTGTGGTTGTGATGTTAGATGGGATATTTGACTTGTGTGGTTGATATTTTACTTGTGTGGTTGTGATGTTAGATGGGATATTTTACTTGTGTGGTTGTGATGTTAGATGGGATATTTGACTTGTGTGGTTGTGATGTTAGATGGGATATTTGACTTGTGTGGTTGTGATGTTAGATGGGATATTTGACTTGTGTGGTTGTGATGTTAGATGGGATATTTTACTTGGGTGGTTGTGATATAAGATATTTTTCTGTGATGATTTATTTTATTTGTTTATAAAAGAATGTTTCATTTTACTTACATTAAATTAAATGATAATGATAAACTAATCAGTACAGTGCCAAAAAGCCTACACTTAATCCATTTTTAAGAAGCCGCCTTCATATCACAGAAAGGTAACCGTTGGAGTTGTATGTCCGATTTATATTTGTAGAGTTACTTCCCATGAGTTTGTAAAATTATTCAAGGGTAAAAAAAAATCTTTCCCATACGGTCACACTTGCCAACTTTCCACTTATCATTTATCCATCATGTACGCTCTTGGCCAATATTTACATTAGCTATCATGATTCCAGCGGCGTAGCTGAGGGAAGGCGCATGACGCGGCCGCCTAGGGCGCCGACCCTAAGAGGGTTAAAACGTAGTTAAAAAAATTAAAACGCTCATCTTAAGTTGGAATATTGAATTATACACGGAGTGGCCTAGCGGACAGCTGACCTGTAGTCTCGAGTTCTAATCCGGGTTCGAGTCAGTAGACCGTCCCTGAGTCCACCCAGCTCTGTTGGATACCTAACTCATGTTAGGGAAAGTAAAAGCGGCCTGGCATAGTGCTGACCGCACTATCCCTTCATATGCCGAGGTCACAGAAACTGGTGAACTTTACTTCACTTGCCCCGTAAATCTTCAGGTTTGAAAGGGAACTTTACAAGCCCCTTAACACTAAGCATGTATTATAGCTACAGTAAACCCTATTCTAATTAAACATCTCTTTAAGCACTTAATTATTTTCAAGTTTTATCGGGATTATTTTTTTCCACTCAAATTTTTTTTTCCGGTACCCCTGTGGCTAAACTACTCATATCTTTTTACCCGTTTTAAAGAAGAAGAGTTTATTTTTTCGGGCCAAAAATGCGCTTCTGTCGGGAAAATTAACGATAAGAATTTTTTTCATGAGTTCTTATTCATAGAAAACGAAAGCACGCACATATCCCTGTGTGTATGGGTATTTAAGGACAGCGTGTACACCCTTTAATTACTCCCCCTGCACTAGCCCTAGAAAGGTCAGAATGAAAACAAAAGCAGATCAGGTGAGCGAACTAAGGTTCCTGGTGGCCGAGAATGAATTGAAAGAAAAAAAAAAAACATCAACGAACAAACAAATTGAGACATTTTTCTAGAGCACATGTTGTGCATAAAAAATCCTGCAGAACAAGGAAGGGGAGACAAATTCATTGTAATGCGATAAACGGCGGGGGTGGGTTGTTTTTCTTTGTAAATCGGGGACGATTTCTGCTGTGGGATTGAATCACTGCATTGTTTCATGGTGGCTAACTACAGCAGGCTATACGGATATGCCAAGTTTTGGCAAACTGTAGTAGGCTATACAGTGTTATGCCACATTGTAGCTGTAACATAATGTAAATATTTTAGTTAATGAAATGTGTGGAGAGGTATTACTGTGGGACCCTTTTTGAAACGAGGGGCTGTCATCTGACATGAGTTTAAAAGCTTGGACAGAGGGAGGGAAGAAGAGGGGGGGGGGGGTGTTACCATTTAACAACGAAGGAGAAGCGTGACAGAAAAAAAATCAGAAATTTTTGTGCAGAAGTTGCTCAAGAATATGTTTTAGCTTATACCCGTGTGTTACATACATCACTATAATTGGTGTCTCTCTAGGACATAGTGTTGGTCCTGATGGTGTAGGACAGGGGTCTCCAAACTACGGCCCGCGGGCCGGATACGACCCGCGAGTTCCTCTCATCCGGCCCTCGGAGATCTTTTTGTCCACCGAAAAAAAATGTTTGTTGTCGGTGGCTGAGTTAAAATGCCACCCCAATGAGATGCCTGGAAGAAACTCTGGCCCTGAACTTATATTTGATAGTTTATGCGGCCCTCGGGCTGAAAAGTTTGGAGATCCCTGGTGTAGGACATAGTGAAAATGTTACGTTGGTCCTGATAATGTAGGACACAGTGACAATGTTAATCCCAGAGCCGGCGTTAGGGGGTGGCAAACGGGGCGGTCGCCCCAGGCCCCGCGCTTGAAGGGGCCCCGCGCTTCAGCAACGCCATTGTTGCCTGAATTAGTCTTTGCTGAATTAAATTAAAAAAAAAAAACAACCAACTAAATGGCCGAAATTGTTGGATGTTAAAACTGAGGCCACTGCTGATGTTAGTGAGTTATCCTCTACATGGACTGGTACGGACCGTTATTCGATACGAAGACATTAGTGTCACACATCGCTGGCACGGTCGACTCGCTATTGTCCTGAGGTGACTGGCGATGGCGGTCGCGAATTAGCCCCCGACCTGACATGGAAGTAAAATCGGGAAAAACGTAAAAAGATACCCTATTGTTTGCGGACCGTTAAAGACATTTTTTTTAGTGAGCAGGCGGGGGTACCTGTAGTAAACAGTCAGTGACCTGATGATGGCTTGCAGAGGAGGAGGGGGGGGGGGGGGAGCGGATGGGGACATGCCCCGGAAATCCAGAGTATTTATCCCTAAAATCATAATTTATACACTGTATGGGCATCTTTTGTAAAACATCTTTTATGCATATTCAACACGATACGTTTGATAGGCATTCATACAGTAATTATGTTCATATTTATTTTAATTATTACCAGGTCATCTTTAAATACATTATACTTGTATTTATTTTTATATTTTTGAAGGGCATATATACAGTAATTATGTCCATTTTCATTTTGGTAAACTTTAACGGTATTCGTAAAGTGATTAAAGCACATGTTTATTTTAATTAACTGTAGGGACAGTGGCGTAGCGAGGTCGGGTGTCACCCGGTGCGGCACTTAATGGTGTCACCCCCCACCCCTTCCCGAGGCGTAGCGACCCTTCCCGGGAAAAAAATTTCAAATTTTCGATTTGCACCCCCCTCCTCAAACTTTTGATTTGCACACCCCTCAAGTTTTCGATTTGCACCCCCCCCCCCCCCCCCCACTCAAACTTTCGATTTGCACCCCCCTCAAGTTTTTCTCTATATATTTTGCTATTTTTGCCTTGGTGTCACCCCTCTAAAAGGTGTCACCCGGTGCGATCCGCAACCCACCCGCCCCCCCCCCCCCTCCCCCCTGTGTAGGGATATTCAGTATAATAGTTAAGGCCACAGTGATTCTTGTTTTAAAATAGTGTAGGCACACTAAACACATTATAAAGTCTATACTGTTTGATACATCGGGCCGAGACTGTTTTATGGTAAAGTTCTCATGATTTCTAAAACGTCTAAATTACCGGCAGTCCGAGCATGCCATCGCGAAACTCATAAATAACATGAAGCTGGCTGTCACATGGTTCACTTTCTAATTATAGACACGGACCTTCTCTTGTGAGAAAGTGGTCTTAACCTGTAATGTAATACGTGGACGCTCTATACACACGCACCTTCTCTTGAATGGCTGCGGTCAGAGATCCAGTAACGTAGTACCCGAACTGATTTTTTTTAGGGTTTGGCATCCCATAGATTTAAATGTACAGTTATCCTTCACGGGCTTCACCTCACCCCACCAACTGTCACCCCCCCCCCAGTGTTCCACCTTACTGAGCGTCCGTGATTACATTTGAGAGTCATTTCCTTTGGATATCTATAGCTGTAAACAGTGTTTTTCACGATTCGAGCTTATTCCGAAATCTATCAATGTTTTGCTATTTTACCCGGCATCCACACACTTTGAATGCCCCTGTTAACACTCGA